TTGTTTGGCCGACTTTTTGGTAACAGTATGAAATGATTTTAAGAGTTCGGTTTGAGACAAAAATGGCTTTTTTTATAAAATACGTTTTACTTTTCATCGCTGATTTAGTCAGTGAATTTTGTTGCTTGCATTAGCGGTAGACGAGGAACGAAGAAATGGATTTGGCCGTCGTAGGTTATGCGAGGACTTAAATTTTTACCTAAAAATTTGGTTCCGTGGAAATGAAAAATATTTCCGAGCAATATATTACTAGAAAATTTTCAAGATAAACCAAAAATTTCCAAGATAAACCAAAAAAAGTAACAGGTTTTCGTGGATGAATCCTCGATTACTTCCACCATCCCCCCGTGAACAGCAACCACTGTTCTTGCATATAATAGCCCCTCTTCTCGTTTTCTTGGGTAAATCAGGATTTGCTATCAGTTTTTCAGATGTTCTTTTCTTATACTGTTTAAAAGTAGTCGTTCGTGTACTAGGTACGCTTATGGAAACGTAAATTGTACTTATGGGCTGGCGAAGAACCATCGGAAAGCTGTGCATGCTCACCTGCCACGACAGATGGAGAAAGTTCTGATGGTGAATCAGTGGACTCAGCTCCTTCAGTCCTTGTCTCTGACGACGAAAATAGGCCAGCTTTGCTTGATATTAAGGTTTGTTCGAGCTGTCAATCTTATTCGTGCTTTAATTATTGCTGCAAATTTATCTGCAGTTCGAGTCTTTGATTATTTTCGAGTGACATTTGCTTTGTTTCCACGTTTGGCTCCCGTTCTTCCCGCATTTTGTGTTCTTTTAGAAGTGAAATACAGCTGAGATGTAGATTTACCACATTCTTGGTTCACTCACACTGCCTCTTTTCAGTTGTTTTCTTTCTTCTGTTTCCTTTTCTACTTTTATTATTTCTAACATCAAGAATAACAGGGCCGCTCAGCCTACGAGGGCATCCTATATGTTATTAGGATGCTCTCATGCGCCGAGCGCAGCTATTCCAAACCATTGGATGCTGGGCTGCATACATCCAGTTAATACTCACCGTCTATTCGATGTATTTGCGCCATCTCTTGTGCGATCGCCCGAATGGACATTTACTTTCTCATGGATACCACTCACTAATGCACATCGTTCACTAGTTGTCGGAAAGGGGAGCAACATATCCTTCTCATGGGATTTTACTTTCCCGCATGGTCAGTGATGATATCCTGCACGTCGCTTATTTAACGGAAAATCTAAATATTTATATTTTCGCGGAAAGATACACCAAGCATCCTTCGCTCCATCGCCGTTTGCGTCACAGCCAACGCTCGCTGTTCAACTTTTGTGTATGATCACCGTGATTCCCGAGTTAATAGTTTATCCGCCAAAATTTTCACGAGGCCGTAGGTGGTAGCCGAGAGCGCGGTTACCACCTACGGCCTCGTGAAAATTTTCATTTTTAATATTTTTTATAAATGAATAATTGCACTCTTTTATTCTGATACAAATTCAGATCGAGCCAGATGCGGCGGCTTCACTTCTTAGCCACCTCGATATTGATACAAATACAAGTACACTGACAAAAAAAGACGATGACGAATCGACTCTGAAAGGAACAGCGGAACGCAGTGCTCTGGGTCCCCGTGATTTTAGCCAGTTTCGGTGATGGTGACAAATGCTTGATCTCGTGTGTTTAACATAAATCTCTTACTACCACTGCCAATTAAAAAAAAAATTATGAATGAGAAGTTGACGTTTTGAAAATATTTTCTGTGCATGTACGAAGGTGTAAATCTGAGGTCGGCTTCTATTGTCTGAGTTCTTTTATGTTTTCTCAGGCTGTTTCTGTACTTTGATAATGAATTGCGCCCTCGATTTACCGCATAATGGTGGTGATAATAAGTTTAAAATTGGTTTTCAAATTCCCCAATCATGTCCCCAGATCTCTGTTCTCTTCATAAAATTTATTTGGATTCGATCTCCTCTAATGATTTTGAGAATGGACTAGTCAGGAAATCAGAATTTGAGAACTTCAGCTACCGCATACCAATAAGCTGAACTGAACTCAAATTAGTTTCCAGTGCCCTTCGCTTCTTGTAAATTTACATTAAGGCTAAAAAACTGATAACCTTAGCCCGAGAACGGAGTGAACGTTAATTCCAGAATTTTGTTATTTTTCATGAGCCATTATAACTAAAGTATAATCAACTTTTTCATGTATTTTTCGATTAATTCATTGTCCGCTAAAGACTCTGCATCTCAATTTATTACGTTGTTCCTCACATGCGTACATCTCTTAACCTTGAAAATTATTATGCTGAATTAGAAAATGTTGTCTGTTCTGCTCATTATAGCTATGCCATGAATATTTTGCAAGATTTATTCAGTGGAAAAATTGGCTTGTGTGAATTTTTTTTTTGAATTTGGAGTTCTATTGTAAAATCATGTTCTGTTCCGCTTATTACAGCTGTGCTAAACTGCAAGATTTAACTCATAGGAAGATGGTTTCTGTGAATTTCTTTTTGGTTGATTTTGTAGTTCCGGCCTTTCCCAAAAATCCAGTGCGAGTTTGCCGAACTTTTTAAAGGCAAATATGCATGTTTCTTTTATTTACTTATGTCTATTTAATTGCTTGCGTCCTGCAAATGCACATTTTTCGCCGAGCGCTTGTGAACCTAATTAAGGTTTATCATGGAAATACTGTTTTTAAACATCAAACGATTCGCTTTTTGGCAACAAATAAAGCTTGACTGGTTGATAATTTACGAAAAAAGTTTTTATTTTTTATGTTTGTCCTGATTAGGCAGTGATTAGCAATACTATTAATTTCTCGCCGTTCTTATTATGCGTGTTTATCCTGTCTGTGATCATTTTGGATTACTTCATTGCTGTCTGGACGGTCGGCAAGGCCAATTCCGTTTTATCTTATACGAATCTAGCGTATCCTGTGTTTTTTGCCTCATTGTTCCTGTAAATCAGTGAGCTGTTCTAACATTCACTGATGCCAGAGAAGGAAATGTTCCTCAGCTAATTTTGCATTTGTAGCATTTCAGATTATGGGCTATCTGTGCGTATGTTCTTTTTTTCCGTTTATTTTGAAATAACTGTGCGATTCTAGAAATATTCATGTATACCGAGCATATTTTTCCTGTGTCATCGAAATTTTCATTTTGTTTCGTTATCTCTTTAATGTTTCAAGAATCCTACCATTGTTGTTTACAGTAAAGAAAGAGAAATTTGACTGATCGGTTTTGCAAGCACCTACCCTAAAGGAGCACGTTTTTAAGGAAATCTGTTTTGGCCATCAAGAAGCCATTTTCTTGTGGCCGCACTTGGCTTTTTTGATCATTTCTTGTTTTCTTGTGAGTACTTCCTAGTTTTGAATTTGACAACAGTAAAAAACGGAAAAAGCGGGAAAATCTTCAAAGCTAACACAGCTTCCTATCGTTTGAAACCTTGGTATTTATTCAATAAACCAAATCAACATCTATATTTGATTCATAAGCAAAGGATGAAGCATCTTGTATAAAAGGAATGAGTTGAGGTGTGCCCGAAAAATAGTCACTAATTTAGGAAATCGTTGATTTTCAAATGAGTGCTAGATGAAGGCAGTTT